TCTTTATACCATAATATTGCATAGGTATACAGTAAAAGCTTTTTATTCGCGAAGTATACGTTCCATAAATATGCCACGAATACAGAAACCGTGGTATGGAATCATATTAGGGGATACGTTCTAAGGTTCTAAAATAAAACCAATACGTATCAAAATAAAATCAATGTATTGATAAATTCGCTATTAAAATGAATCGTTATAATCAGCTTTCGGCAAGAATTTAAAATGATTTTTTCTTGTTTTGAATTTTGAAATTAGTCCACTCGGTTACATGTTTTGGCACGAGCCAATAGTACTCAAAAGATGCTGATACATTGAAAAATAACACCGAATCCTTTTCTACTCGGTTAAATTTTTTATAAAAGCCGCTTCGGGATTCAGTAGTACACGCGCCGTAGAGTAAAAACATGCTAATCGGTTCTAGATATAGATAGATAAAGATTTGTTCTAAAGCTTGTCGAAGGTCATTTTTTAATTTCTATTGAAAATACGTGTCCTACAACTTTAAGCACTTGTAAAAGCTTTTAATGACCATATTATTGAAAACCAAAAACGTACCGAGTTAGTGTGAACCTTTGTCTGTTACGACACAAAAAATTAGATATTTATCTCGCAGCGTTAAATCACAATGTTTAGAATAGAAGCCCATGTTTTCGGAAAAATTCACACTAGGCACGAGCGGTCTATTGCAGCCAATCCCGTTAATAAATGACATTGAATCCTTTTCCGTTTACTAATTGCAACCGCGAATAATGAAATTTTTAACAGCGAATACAGGAACTGGGTTGCAATTTTTTCAGTTGCGAATAAGGAAACCATCAATAAGGACTTTTTACTTACTGTACATATTAAAATCAGGTGCATCTTCCCGAAATACAAATCCAATGCATTTATCGTTTCACTTCAAAAAATACAAGTCATATAATAGAGTGTAACTGTGTTATATACATATGTACCTATACGTAGATATAGATACTGAGTATTGTAGCATTTACGAAGCAGCAAAGGGATATGAGTGAAAGCAAAATATAGGATTCTTTAACAATTCACTGTTATCCAGACAGACTCGAACTTAATTCATTAAATTGGTTCTTGCATGTCAGATATATATGCATATGCATAAATGTACTCTCCGTGCATATAAAACTTTTCACTGTTAAATTACATTTTAACGAGAGTCAGCCGTCTCCAATATTCTATTCCATACATTTCTTGTTGATGGTTAAATTTCACAAATGATGCGTAATAACGGAAGCAGTCGAAGCGACTGCAAAGTGAAACTGACGTCGTCACTACCTAATTAGACGAAAGTATACACGTGCATGTATATTCAATTCAAAGCCGAGTTACATTTATGCGAAGTGTATAACTTTCTCGGGTTCGTGAAATATTTAGTCACGTATGAGTTGAATGCAACAAAACGAATCATGAATTCACATTATCAAAAGTTCGTTCTTGTTATGCACTAGCGTGTTCCGTCTTCTCGAAATACAATAATAGGTACCAAGTTCCTATCTGCCTGTAAGCATCTTTCGAAACAGTATCTGTTTCAAAGTACAGGGTGTTTTCCCTTTTGCAATATCGACAACATATACTGTTTCAAGAAAATACTTCGTACACCAATTAAAAACTAAAATATACCTTTTTATTGCGTTATTTTTTTTTTATTTCATGTATGCTCGGACTTTTTTATACAAAACACATTGCACTGCATTTACATCGGTCATTAGGTTGTTGGGATTTTATCATTTTATGATCACCTAATTAACCTTCCACTTCGGAGGTCAGCCAATACGATTGCCGCAGTTGGTAGTACCCCCTAGCAATAAAATCGCCGCAGTNGCAAATCAGGAGCCCTCCTGCCGTACAATAGTGCCGACAATGACAATGGAAAAATTAAAGTTGCCACACATTTGTATACTAAGAGTGACCATTTTGAACTTGAATACTTGAAAAATTACTTACTATAACTACTTCGTCCTGCTCAGAATTTAATTAGTCAGTACTTTAAAATGAAGTTAAAAGCAAAAAAAAAAAAAAAGAAGGTATTATTAAAAGAAGTAATATTCCACAGATAATCTTTCACTCTCTTCTGTCTTCATTTCGTCCGTCTCATCTTTCTCACCCGAACCACCACCCACCCATTCCCACGATATTTGAAAGCAGGCTGAAGAGGGCCTTCCGGCATAGTCCGGAGGGACTGCCCGCCCACCAGCATTACTGGCTGGTTGGAATGAAACACCCAAGTTTTTTTTTTTTAATACGGTAATAATTATCCTCAACGAGAAAATTGCTATATCGCACACAATTCAAATTTGATTTTATTTTTAAGATTTTGTGATTTCAACCCGTTCCAAATAAGAACTGACACAAATTCGTTGTCCGTTTCTTCGAATCTCGTAAACTAGTAAAATTGAACTAAATATTCCGCTCGTTCTTCGTTCCGAACAAACGGTAGTTTAGTATTCCTTCAGTGGATTCATTATTGTAACTTCATTGTCAGTTTCCTTCGTCGAACTGAAGCACACTGTCCAAGTTATAATTGCTTCTGTTCTACGTGACAAAATTTCTTGCCAACCAATCGTTAATATAACACAATAGCGGGGCGACCGAGTCGCGTCTATCTCGCCTGTGAGAATTTTTTTAACCCCAACAAGTTCGTAACGAGAATCAAAATTACTAAAGACATACAACTTCGAGACAATTTCACATCCAGGTTCCATCCCTTAAATTATAAACTCTCTAAAACTATATCAGGATAATACTAAATAGTTAAAATAATATGTTCTTAAAATACTTTTTGACGTGACAACGTCTTATAATTCGATTGAGCCGGCTGCACGCACGAAAAAACATGACTCATGCGGCGTTACCTCGCTCTGAGGCGTTCCANGTAAACTGAAAGTCCATTTTTAATTAGTTTTAATGAAGCATTATTTTGTCGTCCCGCCACTATGTGTTCATAACAGAAAATACTCTTTCTGTAAATGCTGAAGTAGCCGGAACGGACAGCAAAAGTGACACTACTTCGAACAGATTCGGGAATAATCGCTTACAAAATTACGATGTTTACTTAAGGTCTTAAATAAAGTATTTTTGTGTACTTTATGTGTCTTGTAAAGTATAACGTACTCACAGTCGAAATAGAGTACAATACTTTATAATAAAGTACAGGTGGCAACCCTACCAACAACCGTCGACCGTCGACCCCGACCGACCGTCTGATATGATGAGTTGAACCCCGTATAAAAGACCTACGCATTTTTAAGTAGTATTCTCAATGACAAAAAACGGGACACAATCATCCTCTGCATCTACCCCTTGATACTACTTGACTGTCCACCTGCTTTTATTATTATTATTATTATGCGAATATGTTACCGTAAAATTTGTCCATAATTCAGTTGACGTTGAAGTCTCTTACCCAGCTCACAGATTCAGGACAAGTGAACTAAACCAACCCGTAAGCCTTTTCTTCGTCATAGTGCATCCAGGACTATTATTATTATGCTCACAGCTGCAGTCAGCGGCGCTGGTTTATTTTATTCCAGCGTTCTCAGTTCTCGGTGGCAGTTTAATTACCAACAGCATTAGACGCAATCGTGATAGTATTAACTTAGTTTGCAAATTTTCCTTTTCCGCAGAGCGGTAAATCGTACCAAAACACGCTAAGGAAACTCGTTTTGTTTACTCAAATCACCTCGCTAAGTTAACTACTTGCTCGCAACGGGGACACGACCGCAAGTTAAAATGTCACAGCAAATTTGCTAACGAAACTAAAGAGGCAACAAATACTCTAAATTAGTATTAACGGTTGTGACTTATTATTTCCGTTGTCTCTTCCAACTCTGGATTATTTATTAAAGAAACAAATAATAAACGGAAGCGTTACTGAGACATGGGCATTGCTCCGACAACGTACGACTCAATCCTGCTCGATTATTTTACAATTATGACTATAATAATCACAAGATGAATAATAAAATAAAAATTTAACTCAATTTTGGACCATACCTTGAAGGAAATCAGAAAACACTGATCGTTCTAATTATAATTTTGGGGGATCGTCAAATCGGGTTTAGAAGAAACCGGGGGAACGCATGAGACCACATTATCTTTACGGATATTAGTTGGGAATAGAAGAAAGAAAGGATATAGAGGCTTTCATTTATAACGATCTTGGTTATAGCGACGTTAAATCTAAGTCCCTTGGAATTTAAAGCATATCTTAATAGGTACAAGATTTATGTAACTATAATGACTTCGGATGTAACGCCGTGTTCGCGTATAGCGACTGTTTTTAATGAATCATTTGTAACAAATTCTTAATAATCCGGAGTCGGCCGCAAAAGACACAAAGAGCTTTCTTATCTTTTGTTTACATCCACACAGAGTCAGCAAGTTTTACCGTTTGTTTATAGATTAGTCAGGTAGGTAGATAAGGGTGTACGTTAAAATGGTTCAATTACAAAGTGATATTCTGAGTAGCAAGTGTGTTTAGTAAACTTTCGAATAAGTATGACTCCTAGATGCACATTTACCTACTGTCAAAAAAAGGCGGAAATCGTTTCAAAATTGAAAAATAGTGAAAACTATACATATGTGTCTGTATCTCTTTACCTTTGCCTGTAACGACTTCCGGATATAACGACGAAATTACAGTGGTTCCTTCGTTGTAGTTATATCCGAAATCCACTGTGGATTCGTGGATCTAGAAAAGAGACTTTTGACAATGTTAAATGAAACATGAAACAATCCTAGTCCTAGTCCACGGCTATGAATTCCAAATATAAAGCATTACCGACCCAGTTCCAAATATATTCACCCTTCTCCGTACATTGTAATTTTTAAAAATCTTCGAAAGAACAAACGTGCTTATTCGAGTCGTAAAAATAGATGGCGTTCGCACTTTTACGACGAAGCAATAAATTTGAGCTTTTATATCATCTAATAAAAAATGTTTCTGGGGAAACGGTTAATGGTCGCTTTCACTGTTGCAGGAAACAGGGGATTCGAGGCTCCCTACTCCGTTATGGTCTTCGTCCATGGTGAAAGTTTCGAATGGGGTTCGGGTAACCCGTATGATGGTAGTGTACTGGCGTCTTATGGGCACGTCATCGTTGTTACTCTCAACTTTCGACTCGGAGTACTTGGTAAGCCTGCCAATAGCCATTTTTTAACCAGAAGTATAATACACCGTTATAACATTCCAAGAGGAATAGTATAATCCAAATGGAAGCATTCGAGAGATTTTCAGACTTTCTATTTAATACGTTTAATACGTTTATATTAATTATATTGATGTTTTCAGTAGTGACGAACTAATTTTGAATGCACTCGCCATTGGATCTTCGTCAAAATGACTTATTGTTAGGTCTTATTACCACTGCGAAACATTTGGAACTTTTACCCAAAATAGACTATAGACTTTATATGTACTATTAGTAGTATTAATTATTTTTTTTTGAAAAGCGAGCCAAATTGAATAGCCTTACGTATTCGAAAATTGTCAATGTAAATGACAACGAGAAGCCATACATATATGTTCATATAGGTAGTGTAATTAAACCATAATTTCGTCATTATTAATCCTGGGATTCAATTAAAACTTCGCGTAACGACCCAGCAATTACTATCTGCCGTATCAATTGCCACGTAATTGTTTTAATTCGAAGTTGATTTAATTTTCGATAGTTGGTAGAAAGTTTCAGTTTTCGCATAACATCGAGTGCACACTTGGAAGTCGGTCTTAATTTCCTTGAGAAATAGCTTTTCGCTTTTTCATTCCAACTACAGCCATCTCACATAATTAAATTACTTCGGTAGTTTTCATCGTTCCGAACGATTTGTCGTTTTGCCCTAGTTCCGATACCGATTCTGAGGTTGCAAATTACCACAAATTGCGAAAATGTCGGAAACGAAATTAGTGAGCATGGCGTTACAAAACTGACCAGTATTCCTAGGGACATAAACTGATTTCTGGACACATTACGTAAAAGTGCTGTTATCGAAACACACTTTACGAGACTCTTCTCCAACTAAATAGTCAAAGGACGTAGGAGCCATTAAACTAAACGAAATTTTTGGGTATTTCATTCTCACCAGCTACTAGTTCCGGAAGGTCCTTTTCTTTGAGGTATGGTCGGAATGGAGGGGGTGGTTGGGAGTGAGAAGAATGAGATAGGCGAAATATAATATAATAATCTTGAGAGTCTGTGGAATATTATTGCCCCAGCTTTTGAGAACCATCTGGGCAGATGAGTCCGGAATCAAGCCGGTGTCCTCTCGAATGCTAAGAAATGCCCTAGACAAAAATTTTCAGTCTCTCAGAGTCTTTCATCGTCTCTGAGAGCGTCTCTCACAGTCTCTGTATGAGAGACTCGAACGATAAAATTGTTAATTCAGAGATTCGAGTCTCTCACAAAGAAACTAAATGAATAAAACTGAAAAATTGAGAGACTCGAGTTTCTCGTAGAAAGAGTGGGATCTCTGAAATATGTTGAACTTAGAAAATTTTAACCATGTCTATCGAGACACCACTTATTGAGAGATTCGAGTCTCTCGTTCAGAGATTCGAGTCTCTCGTAGAAAGACTGGGATCTGTGTTTTAACCATGTCTATCGAGACACCACTTATTGAGAGATTCGAGTCTCTCGTTCAGAGACTGGATACGAAATGAGGATCTCTCTATGAGCGACTAGGGTCTCTCGTTCAGAGACACTAAACAGTTTTTAGACAGTCTTTCTCAGAGACACTAGAGAGCCTCGATGAGAGGGGGAGACTCGAGTCTCGCTTTCAGAGACTCTGAGAGACTGAACATTTTTATCTCGAGTGGTGTAAAGCTCTTTCCCAAAATCAGCGATTTTACACATTAAGCGTATAACATTAACAATTATCGGGCACTAATAATAATGATTATGTCGTACAGCTTTTCTCACACAAGGACCATCTGCATTTGCAATAATTCAGAAACTTTATCCCGAGTGAATGCCTTTTTATTTTCCTTCTTTTGTAAAACCCATTCGTTCCTTTCAATCCGTAGTTAGGTTGCAATTTGAGAATTACTACCTTTAGAATGTTCATTAAAGAGAAAGCTGCGACGGTCTGGGACTTGGAAAAGCGAAGCCGCTTATGGCCCATAAAAAATATTAATGGTGTGATAAAAGACGGCATTTCCTTTAATAGGCTTTCCTGTTATCCTCTGCATTCATATACTTTACGCGCCATAAACAACCGTCAAAACAAAAATGGAGTCTTGGCATCGTTCTGAGAAAATGAGCGCGGATCAGGGATCAGAATTGGAGCGATTGCGATGAGGGTGGAAATGTGGATAAAGTGTGCGTCTTTTCGCTTTTCCAAAAAATTACGTTTAATCCTATCTCACAAAATGTCAATTTCTAATGGTAATAATGTATCTAACGTAGCTACTACATAAGTCTTAATCCAACTAATTCAATTTCAATCTAAAAACGGTTCTTTTTCAAAAGCATGGAATGATTGGAATACGAATGGATAACAATGTATGTTACATATCAGAAACTTCAAAATAAATCTCATTAAAAAAACATTTACTTGCCTTTTAATTAAGCATAAATATTAAAAACATTAAATTAATTATTTTCCAAAATTCTCAAGAAGATAGACATCAATGCAACAAAGTCTACAAACGCAATTTAAGCTTAGTTTCAATAAAAAAAAGAAACAAAAATGTTATATTCATACATATAGCCACTTTAACAATAACTGAACATAACATGAATATAATGAACTCGACGTTTGATCAACCTTCTTGAGAAATATTCAGCCAAGATCTTTATACCATAATATTGCATAGGTATACAGTAAAAGCTTTTTATTCGCGAAGTATACGTTCCATAAATATGCCACGAATACAGAAACCGTGGTATGGAATCATATTAGGGGATACGTTCTAAGGTTCTAAAATAAAACCAATACGTATCAAAATAAAATCAATGTATTGATAAATTCGCTATTAAAATGAATCGTTATAATCAGCTTTCGGCAAGAATTTAAAATGATTTTTTCTTGTTTTGAATTTTGAAATTAGTCCACTCGGTTACATGTTTTGGCACGAGCCAATAGTACTCAAAAGATGCTGATACATTGAAAAATAACACCGAATCCTTTTCTACTCGGTTAAATTTTTTATAAAAGCCGCTTCGGGATTCAGTAGTACACGCGCCGTAGAGTAAAAACATGCTAATCGGTTCTAGATATAGATAGATAAAGATTTGTTCTAAAGCTTGTCGAAGGTCATTTTTTAATTTCTATTGAAAATACGTGTCCTACAACTTTAAGCACTTGTAAAAGCTTTTAATGACCATATTATTGAAAACCAAAAACGTACCGAGTTAGTGTGAACCTTTGTCTGTTACGACACAAAAAATTAGATATTTATCTCGCAGCGTTAAATCACAATGTTTAGAATAGAAGCCCATGTTTTCGGAAAAATTCACACTAGGCACGAGCGGTCTATTGCAGCCAATCCCGTTAATAAATGACATTGAATCCTTTTCCGTTTACTAATTGCAACCGCGAATAATGAAATTTTTAACAGCGAATACAGGAACTGGGTTGCAATTTTTTCAGTTGCGAATAAGGAAACCATCAATAAGGACTTTTTACTTACTGTACATATTAAAATCAGGTGCATCTTCCCGAAATACAAATCCAATGCATTTATCGTTTCACTTCAAAAAATACAAGTCATATAATAGAGTGTAACTGTGTTATATACATATGTACCTATACGTAGATATAGATACTGAGTATTGTAGCATTTACGAAACAGCAAAGGGATATGAGTGAAAGCAAAATATAGGATTCTTTAACAATTCACTGTTATCCAGACAGACTCGAACTTAATTCATTAAATTGGTTCTTGCATGTCAGATATATATGCATATGCATAAATGTACTCTCCGTGCATATAAAACTTTTCACTGTTAAATTACATTTTAACGAGAGTCAGCCGTCTCCAATATTCTATTCCATACATTTCTTGTTGATGGTTAAATTTCACAAATGATGCGTAATAACGGAAGCAGTCGAAGCGACTGCAAAGTGAAACTGACGTCGTCACTACCTAATTAGACGAAAGTATACACGTGCATGTATATTCAATTCAAAGCCGAGTTACATTTATGCGAAGTGTATAACTTTCTCGGGTTCGTGAAATATTTAGTCACGTATGAGTTGAATGCAACAAAACGAATCATGAATTCACATTATCAAAAGTTCGTTCTTGTTATGCACTAGCGTGTTCCGTCTTCTCGAAATACAATAATAGGTACCAAGTTCCTATCTGCCTGTAAGCATCTTTCGAAACAGTATCTGTTTCAAAGTACAGGGTGTTTTCCCTTTTGCAATATCGACAACATATACTGTTTCAAGAAAATACTTCGTACACCAATTAAAAACTAAAATATACCTTTTTATTGCGTTATTTTTTTTTTATTTCATGTATGCTCGGACTTTTTTATACAAAACACATTGCACTGCATTTACATCGGTCATTAGGTTGTTGGGATTTTATCATTTTATGATCACCTAATTAACCTTCCACTTCGGAGGTCAGCCAATACGATTGCCGCAGTTGGTAGTACCCCCTAGCAATAAAATCGCCGCAGTTGGTAATGTTTTGAGAAGGATCGCCGCAGTTGGTATATTCCATTTAATAATACGGTAATACCGAGCGGCATGGCCTAGAGGTCTAGACCATTGCTTAGCATTCGGGAGGACGCCGGTTCGATTCCGGGTCCGTCTGCCTTGGTCCAAGTTTTTCTGTGGTTTCCTTGGATCACTTAGG